CACCTTCACATAAAGCTTCGATTGGAGTTTTGGTTCCCTTCGAATCAGCATACTTCGAGTCCAATCTGAACCCTTCGAAGCAAAGCTTGTTTGAAGAACTTTGAGAAAATATCATAGCCTTTTCCTCCAAATCTCACTTGTTAGGCTATGTTGCTTCCAAATCTTTACATAATCATAGGCTTACACAAAGGTTCGAAGCTTTGTCTACTGGATAATACTATTCTTGGATAAAATAGCAAAAAGCTACGTACCCTTTTTTTTATAAAGAGTACTTTAATCAAAAAATCAGCTCCCAATCTGACTTTTGTCTAAACAAAAGTAGTGACAAAAGCATAAGTCCAATCTCCTGCCCCCAACAGACAGCAGGCTCCCGCTTGTACTTGAAACTTGGGAATAACGAAATGGATCAATTTTGTTTTCGTTTCAAACAAACCATGGTTTGTTATCCTACAAACCTGGTTACTTCAGCAATTCTAACCCTTTCTATATAAATATAGAAACATTTGCAAGCTGAGGAGGAATTTGGGTGGTGTGAAAAGAATCTTCAAAAAAATCATCAAACTCTCAAAAACTCTTAAACTCTTAAGATTCTCAAACACTAAACACAAACCCAGAGTCTAAAGAAACATAACACTTGTTCCTTTTTCTCTTTCGAATTTGAAGCAATCAAACGCTTGGTTCCTTCTTTCGAATCCAGTACTAGAAGCATAACCCCTGTTCCTTTCCTTCGAATTCAAGAGCACTCAGGGCAGCCACTCAAGGTCCATCACACATTCCAGCTTCAAGCAACGTAAGTCACTTTGACCTTAAACTTTTTGTTTTAAGCATATACGTAACATTTGTTTCCTTTTCGTTTCCATCTTTTCAGTTTGTTTTAATTGCTAACCTTTTGGTTTTATTTCTTGGTTTATCAAATTTTTTTAAGAACTAATTTGGCCATGAGATAATACTAGCACGACCTCAGGCCATGTTGCTATTTAAACCCCAAACGAAAGAAAACAGGAGGAAGGAAGTATGAATTGAAGCTTTAGGCTTCACTCCTGGCTGCTTCACAGTTGCAAGCAGAACAAAGAGTGTGGCCTCAGGCTTCACCACACACTGACTTCCAGGCCATTCGAAGGAGCAAAAAGGGAGAACCGAAAGTTGTCCATATTGACTGTCAGGCCTCAATCGAAAGAAACATCCAGAAGTATGTCACTCTCAGGCCTCAATCGAAAGAAGGATAAAGGGCATGGTCGAAGCTTACTTGCTCACCCTAACATTCCTGCAATCCAAGGAAGCAGAAAGGCAGAATCGAAGGCCGCATCTCATGCTTTATGATAAGCCCAAATCGAAAGGAGCTAGAGAAGCAGAATCGAAGGGTGCATTCTACCTAGATCGAAAAGCTCATTTTTCCTCCTTTTATTTTGTTTTGTCTTTACATTTTCTTGCTATTCAATATGGTTGTAATAGTATATGATATTTATTTTCTTCATTTTTATTGCTTTTATACAAATGTTAGTAATTAGGATGTATGGCAAGATAAAACCAACAAGTAAACAACCAAAAAATCAAAGACAAAATGCATGCAAATCAAACACATTATTCACACACATGCACCCCAAGGGTAATCCCACCTGTTGCCTCGGAAAATAGTCATGTCCCTTGAATATGAGCATTTTAGCAAAGACCCTTAATAAAAGATCGTAGTCCCTCGATGACCATCGATGTTGCCTTCAGTAAACGATCTAGTCCCTAAACGAAAATTGTTAAAACGTTCCATAGGTTGCCTTCTATGACAATACAAACGACTCACGCCCGTCCCTTCACATCCAACAATGAGGCTTCTTACCAAACCGATGGTAAGATAGCAACATCTAAAGAATGAGGAAAAGAACATAGACCTTTTGAGTAGGTAGGATACTCATAGTTGCTCGCTTGCTCACAACAAAAACATTTTTACACACCAACACTTTCAATTGAAATATTTTCAAAAAGACAAAGCTCTTTGTACGCATTCTTATAGAGACTAGAATTATTACAAAGACACTTTTCAAAATCACTTTCAAAAGCACATTCCACAAACACCTTTTTGAACTATTTTCAAAACCAACACTTTGTACGCATTCTTATAGAAACGAAAATCATTACAAAGACGTTTTCAAAATACTTTCAAACCCACACCACAAGCACATTTTCAAGCAAAAACAAGTGATCTAGCAAGCAACTAAGAGCCCGTAGATAACTACAAATGAAAAGAGTGCTAACACATTCCCTTTTCATAACCTAGCTGAAAAGAGTGAATTAGGTATATAAAAATTTATTCGGTTTTATGAGAATACTTGTAGTAATTTGTGGTTAAGTGTTTGAAGGTTTTTGATTATATCTTATCTTTTCTTGATTATGGTGATGAAAACGATAAAAGCGGAAAAGTAAAGAACACGGCGATATATCCTGGTTCCCCTCACAATCCGAGAGTACTCCAGTCCCCTTTCCAACACGAAAGAGATTTCACTATAGTTTAGAATGATTGTACAACCTATGCTTACTATCTAACCTATAGGGTGACCAAAGGTTCTTAACACCTTTAAGGTCAAACAAACACTAATGTGAATGAAGAACAATCCTCTTCAAATCACAACACTTACTTCCAACAATCCTGGATAGTAAGAGAATACTTTCTTTTTGTAATACAATGATTTATTTGAAAGAGATGGAGAGCACTATCAATCTTTGATTGATCTTCTTCTTCAAGAAAGAAACAATTCTCAAGCAATGATTATAAATATTCACAATGAATGTATGAAACTTGTAATGATTTCTTAATAAAAATGTATATGGTAAGTTTCACAAAATTTATGATTTGTAAGAACACTTGAAAGTTTGTAAGAATATGCAAATTTGAATGATGAAAGTTGTTAATTGAAGAAGGTAATTTGAATTTGAAAATCTGCACAATTTATAATGTCACAAATACCTCTTCATTCATGCCATTTGATATGAAAAGATGCAATGCAATCATGAAAGAATACCATTTTAATTATGTTCAAAAAACAAAAGAAAATTTGTACTGGTTCGCTGGGAACTGGTTCCGACCCAGGCAGAACCCGGTTCCTAGTGAACGTTATAACCCAGAATTCAAAAATAACACGCAGGAACCGGTTCCCCTATAGGTACAACCCGGTTCCTGGTATAAATTCCAGGGAAGTGATTTTTGAACAAGTTTGGAACCCGGTTCCCTGTTAGGTAGGAACCGGTTCCTGAAAGTTTATTTTCAAAAAATCCTTTTGAAAAAGATCTCAAACATAGTTTTTCTTATTGTTAAAAATGTGGGATATGTATATGATTATGAATGCATATTTGTGAACATCTATATTCAAGTTTAAGAATTATTTATACCTTTTGACATTTGTTGTTTCTTTAATAATTCTTCTTCTAATCTTCAAGACTTGTAACAAGGTTTTATATGATATTGATAAACTTTTTGCACATCCTTTGAATATTGATATCCATGTTGTCTTCATCAAAATCAATGCTTTAAACATGACTTGAGAAGCTTGCAATTACACTACCCCCGAATTCAAGAAAATAATTTTGAAAGGTCTTTTATGTTCTTTTCATCATTTCCTTTGTTGAATAAAAGAAAAGTCGATGGCGATTCTTACTATCCGCAACAATTATGATCAAACGCAAAACATCCAAATCAGTTCTTCCACCGTATTACAATATCCACAAGCTACTCTCAACTTGGTTCTAGAAATTTTACCGAATAGCTTACAAAAGCAGCTTATAACTCATATAAAAATAGTTTAACTTCATAAATTAACTGCATCAACACGGAGTTTAATCTTAAACTTCTTCATCATATTAAAGATTCCAATAACTTTTTTCCTTTCATTAGAAGAAGCAAATGCCTTAATAGTAATTGCAAAAGTTTCCATTGTCAAAAAAACCCTTCTCTCCCATTTCCTCAAGCAATGCTACCATGGTCTCAAATTGTCTAGTCTTCCCTAAAATATTCATCATGGAGTTATAAATCCTTGAATGATGTTCAAAACCAGGCCTTTTCCCTACCCAACAAAAGAACCTAAAAGTAGGCTTCCTAGCATGTTTGAACCTATGCAACACATGAACAACCAAATCATGAGACAACATAACACCACACTCATCAAGAACTGTTTCCATGTTCCTATCCAAAGCAAAAAATTCATCAATCACCTTGCATACCCTATCAACCTCATCTGGATCTGATCATGACTCACTACTTCTAAGCAATTTTACAACTCTCGCGTCTAATTAAAACATTTAGAGGCATTGTTTCTATCTTAATCAATATATATATATATATATATATATATATATATATATATATATATATATATATATATATATATATATATATATATATATATATATATATATATATATATATATATATATATATATCAAAATCTTGATCTAAAACATGACATCATTTGATTTTCATGTATTTTGTAATGTATGTAAATTATAAAAAGGTTTAATGGATATGTACTAACAAATAAATATATTTCAATAATAAATCAATAATATGTCATGTTATTAATTTTTTTTAAATAAAAAAAAATAATGCATTCTGAAACATGATCGTTATCGGTTGACAGTATAAAATTAATTTACAATGCATCACCTATTTTATCATTATAAAAAATAAAAAATAAAGAGAATAAAGATAAACATATATGTTATCACATCTATAATTCATAACAAAAATTACCTCCTTCTCCATGATTTTAAATTATTTAAATCAGATCTTTTTAATTTTTTTTCTATATTTATATTTTAATTCATTCATACTATTAAAATCAATAATGACAACAAATTGGTATTGCATCACAATAAATTATATAGTAGGTTCACATTCCAATATATTAAACTACAATAATTAACATAACCATAACTATATGTGCCAAAAGTAACAATACTTGAAACAAAATTATATGGTAACTCAGGACTTGCATAGTTTACATTGCTTAATTGTCTTACTTAGGCCTAATTTCTATTCCTTCAACAATTAAACCTCTCTTCCAATAAGCACCTTTCTCCAAAACCTTCATATGGACTTCTTCATTCTCTATGCCTGAATTGAAGAACTCCCCCATCTCAATCTCCAACCACCCATCACTTCTCACATTAGGACATTGCAATCCCACTACTCTGTTGTGAGACCTATCATCCACATTAGGATCCAAACAGACATTTTTAGTACTACTATGTCCACCTTCCACAAAAACTGATAACTCTGCGGGACGGATCTGAAATCTATGGGGGTCAACCATCTTGAACACAAGATAAGCTGCATACTCAGTATTTGGAGACAATGCAATTGTGTTTATCGTACCACAAATTTCAAGCCAACAAACATTGAGAAGCTTAGCAGCTTCAGGGAACCTGTCCAAAAGTAGTACAAAGTTGCAAAGATTAAAATATCGGAAATGAGAGAAAAGTTGAAAGTGATTCATTACATGACCAATGGACTTTCTCAATTGATTTTAGAATCACTACACACCTGCCTCGCCTAAATCTGTCATACAAGTGTTTTGACCCAAAATGCTATTCTGGATCATAACATTGATTCACAAATTAAGCATTCATTAAGGCGTAGCAGTATTAACACAAAACGTAAGAGCTAAGCTAACCTGGAGGTACGCATAGTAATCCACTTCCAATAGCGCTCATCATGAACCCAACAAATGGATAAAGATCTAGCCCCTAGCATGTAACATATTTTCCCACTCTTTCTATCCAACTGAAAGCTCTGCGTTATCAATTCAGTTTACTTACTACACAACTAACATGATAAACGTCCCTGACATGCAAGAAATTGGAGAGAACAATACCTTTAGACCATTGTCGACGATGATAGGGCGATCGGATAGTGCCAAGTAGAGAGCCTTTTTGGAAGGAACGTTTGCAAGTGAGGGAGAATTAGAGATGATAGAGTCCATGAATTGAGAATCAGAAGGGAGAAATTGATTCCATACAGCGTCGGAATCGGCAGCAGAATGAAATGTCTTGGAAATGACGGAGAATCTGCCGGCGTCAACGGGAGTTGTACGAGAGAGTATGGTGGAGATACATCCTTCAGCCAATTCTTCAAACTGGGTCATTTTCACGTACAAAGAAGAATTGAGGTGGATATAGTTATAGCTGCTGCAAACTTTATCAATTAATATAAATCTACGCGCTTTCCTTAACTTACAAGAAACCTACCACTTTTTGAAAAGATTGTGTCACTTTTCTTTTCAATGTTTTCAAGTTCACCAATAACCGACTCTCAGTAATTTACATCGAAACTATTTACTTCACTGTTACTCTTTCCCACCTAAAACATTTGGTTAAAATGATGATTAGTTAGGTCGATTTTAATTAGATCTAATTTATATATTATTTTTACAATTTTAATCATGTCATATATGTCTCAAGCAATTTAAAGGCTATGTTTAAAAAATATTTTATTTAAATTATTAATAATATTAAAAACATGATAAATAAAATCAATAACAATAAATAAGATAAATAGTTATTCTCGTAACAGTTCCGTTCAAAAACAAGAAGTGAATGATCTAACACCACGAAAGAATAAGAAATTAAGAGAGTGGGATATATGTGGATCTCGAACGGTGGCTCAAATCTCCGTTACAGGAGCGCAAGGTGGACCTGTATGGTTAGCGCATTCATGTCTAAATCAGTTTAAGATTCAAGGTGAATATAGTGAAATTGAAAATCAGAGATTGTGTACATTCTCATAACATGTTGACTTTTTATATTTTGGGTTGAGTAGAGTGGATTTGAGATGGGTTGGGTCTTAATCAATTTGGGCCTTTTGTCGGTCCAGAACAATTTCCCCAAGGCTTTGTCGGGCACTGAAGGAGTCGTGGGAAGCCTTAAGCATCAATGACCAACCTTCATGTCGTTGTCTGAGGTAAGATAGATCTGAATCACTTGTGATCAATTTTTTGAAGAAGTAATAGAGAACATGCACATTTAATTTTGTTTCATCATTGAGCCGTTTTGTCACCCATTTCTAACACGTGTAGTGAAGTGACCGACAAGGGTTCGACGCAATTTACAGAGTACTTGAGTGGATGTATATTCATTAGTGGAAATCTATGTTGGGTAGACCTCCCAAAATAAAAGTTTCGTTTGGAATTTTTTTTGTCAGAGTTTCAAAAACAATATGTTTTGCGTGGCGGAAGCAACATTTGTGTAAAAAGAGATTATGCTTATCAATTGGAAGTTATGTAAGTATCCTTAAACAGTTCACATTGCAATCAAGTTAAACTATTGAATTACACCAAAAAATACAAACCAATTGTATTACACAATCATTCAATTTCACAAGATGTGTTATTGAATAACTTTCAATACAAGTAAAATTCTACTATCAAAGCTCTCAGACTTAATCCACGCTAAGACAATGTTGAATTACCAATTCTAACAAAACACACAACTTATGCAACAAATCTCTACTAACAGATAAACCTATCATCAAGCAATTCTAGAAAGAAATAAAAACAACCTAATAATGCAATCAACCATAAAATTAAATTCGTGTGAGAGAGAGAGAGAGAGTACACTAGGATTTATAGTGGTTTGGCATGTTTGTTCTTGCTTTATGCGTAATCCACTCTCCAATGATTGTCCATTGATAATTTCTTTGTCTTCCACTATGATATACAATAATATTATAAGAGTTCGTACAATCATTAGTCTACAAATAAATGTTGAAAGTAAAATTTCTTCTATTCTGGATCTTGACTTGTACACAGCTCCACGAATTGAATTCTATGCGAAATCTTTACTCGAGGTCCCTTCTAAATCTTCTAGCCCCAACAACATGCTCTTAAGTCTCCATCTACGGAAATTTCCACACAATTCCACCAATATCTTGAGAGTTGGTGTTAACCCATATTTTGTGAGTTAATACATGTCTTTAGTTTTTTATTAATTGATCTTTTTATTAGCTCAATAGTTGTAATTTCCTGTATTTTAATTGTTTTATTTGTTTAGCTTATAGCATGATAGGTGCTCTCTTTTTATTATTAATGTTTTTTATGTAAGTAAAAGGGTAATAGAGTCAGGCTGGGGCAAGAGTGCATTGGTCTGCTGCATGGAACACGAGCTGAAGAAGTTAGAAGGACTTAGAGGAAAAGATAAATTAATAGTGCAAGCAGCTGGATGAAATGGATAGCGTGCAAAGTGGAATAATTTGGAGGGAACACTTTGTTGTGTTGAAAAAGAGGAAGAAACAATTCAAATTCAAAGCACAAAGGTGTAAGCGTTAGAGGATAAAATCATGGATAATAGTACACTATGCAAAGGACAGTGTGCCGCCTGCACCTACTGTGGCAGTCTTCCACCATACACATTGTCTCTCACCATGATCTCCTTGTACCAGATTCCTTGTTTACTAAGCAGCTGATATTATGCGTCGGTGCTACTTTTTGTATGGGTTTCATGTGATTTCCTCATATTAGGCCCATGATCCAATACAACACCAACCCTAATCCTTGGTCTATAAATAGATCTGCAACGAGAAATGAAGGGAGTTCAGTTGTTCTAAGAGAAAATACCAAGAGTTTAGTGTATGGATAGTGGAGTGTGATAGAGTTCTCTTCGCACCCAATCTTGTACCAACTGGTGAGCAATAGCGCGACTGCAGATAACTCTTGAATACTAGCCGTCTCAAGTCATTTTCCAAGTCTCTCTTAGGTTTTTATCTTTTCTTCATTTAATGTTTAAAATATGTTCCTATTGAGAACCATGTTTGTATCTTGTGTTCAGCTCACTATGAGCTAAACCTTTTGTAGTTGAGCAATGTGAAGTTAATATTAAAGTGATTTAATGTTATATGGTGTGTGGTTAAGTGACTCATTCTATTATATGTTAATATGTTATAAGTTTACTTGTTTGCTTGATCAACTTAGGATTAGACGACAACTTGTTGTTGTGAGATATCCAACAAGTGATTTTCTTAATAAAAATATTTGAATGAGTAGGATAGAGATACTCACTTGCTTAGTTTACTTAGAGATAAGAAGCTACAACTATTGGGGACTTCAGAAGACTAATAGACGCATATTAGAGTTACAAGTGAGACTTAGAGATTTATTCACTTGTCCTTGTTATACATGCTTTGATGTTGTAGAGATACACCATAAGATCACTCTGACCTCACCAGTCACGACACCACACGTCATGAACACATGATGACACTGATGATATTAATAGAACATAGCTCAACTAAATCACTTTTAATATATTTACACTTATTTTCACCTACTTTTGACATCTATTTTAAGTGAACTTGAATTCATAAACACCAATCATTATTTCTCTCAACTCATGCTTAAATCTAAAGAATAGTTTCCATACAAAAATCAAATATAAGTAACAACATTCCCTGTGGGTATGATACTCTTATACTTATTACCTGCTGTAATCACAATATGTATACTTGTATGTGACACTCTTTTAATAATTGCGAACAAGTTTTTGGCGCCATTGCTGGAGAGTGATTTAGTTACATTATGATTTTATTTATTTATTACTATTGTTTTTGTTTTTAAGCATTAGAGCCTTTAACGTTTCATTGTAATCTGGGATCACGACGGGTGTTTTAGCTATTGTATGCACAAGTTGTTACGCTCAGTTTACAATGGATATCCTGAACCTGAAAGAGCACTCGGAGTACTAAGAAGACATCGAATTGTTGGACATATACCAGGGAATCCTATTGTTGTTTAGCTGGCAGATTTAGGAGACCCAGAACCACCAGTGCAACCAGAAGAAGAAGAAGAAGAAGAAGAAGAAGAAGAATAAGAAGAGCCAATCCATGTCATGGCTAATAACGACATTATCGGTATTGCCAATGATAGGACCCATATAATCAGACTATGCAGTTTTTGATCCAAATGCTATGAGTATTGGTATCATCTTACTAGAAATCAATACAACCCAATTTGAATTCAAACCTATGATGTTTCAGATGCTCCAAACCACTGGCCAGTACTCAGGCTCTCCTCATGAAGACCCTCATTTGCATTTGAGACAGTTCCTGGATGTTGCTAGTAATTTCAAGATTCTTGGCGTGACTGATGATTCCTTTCGGTTGAGGATTTTTCCTTACTCTCTAAGGGATAGAGCCAAAAGTTGGTTAAATTCCTTAGAGCCTAATTCCATTGCCACATGGAATGATCTAGCTGGGAAGTTCTTAACTAAGTGCTTTCCTCCTTCCAAGAATGTAAAGATGAGAAATGAAATTACTTCATTTAGACAAGGAGGTGAAGAATCTTTATTTGATGCTTGAGAAATATTTAAAGAGTTGCTTAGACAATTCTCTCACCATGGCATACCCATTTGTATTCAACTTGAAATTTATTACAATGAGTTAATTCCTTCTTCAAGGAAAATGCTTGATGCCTCGAGTGGAGGAGCTCTTTTGTCTAAGTCGCATGAAGAAGGTTATAGATTGATTGAGAGTATTACAACAAACATATATTTATGGCCAGTCACAAGAGCCACTGTTAATTCTACTCAAAAGAAACCTACTAGAGTTCATGAAGTCACTAGGATAACAACTTTTACTGCTCATGTAGCTCAAATTCATCAAATGGTGAAGAATATGATGACTCTAGAAGTGGCTAAGCCTGGGCCTGTGAAGGTGATTACTGATGCCTTTGTAGTTGTCCGTGTGTATTGTGGATGAGCCCATTTATTTGAAGAATTTCTTGCAAATCCTGTATCTGTTAACTATGTTGGCAACAATAATAGTAGATACAAAACTCCTTACAACAACACTCACAACCCTGGATGGCGTAACCACCCAAATTTCTCTTGGAGTAATAATAAAGATCAACCTAAAACTCAAGCTACTCAAGAAACTCAAGCACCATAAATGACACTTGGTTTTGTTGCACCTAACTATGTTGTGGAAAATCAAGGCAACAACCAGTTGGAAAACATTTTAAAATCCTTCATTCAAGAGACCAAAAATCAATTTCAAGAGCAAGGAGTGAGCATAAAAAACCTAGAAAATCAAGTAGGACAAATTTTCACTGCTTTGAGTTCAAGGAATGTGAGAACACTCCCAAGCTCTACAAAAACTCCAGCAACAACTTCTGGAGTGAAGAATGTTGAAACATATCAAGTTATCAAGCTTAGGAGTGGAAAAGAATGTGAAAGATTCACTCTTAAAAATATTGAGATGAGTGAAGTCCTGTCCGCGTAAGACGGTTTTGAAGAAAAAGGAGAATCCTATGAGGAACCGTCCTCATCTGAAAAACATGAAGAGAATGTTGAACAAAATGCTAATGACATGATCTTAGTCTCCATAATTTACTTAAATCATCATATTTTTATTTTGATTAATCTAGACTCTAAAAAATCAATTATTATTCCATCAATTTAATATTTAGTATCTAATAAGTTCGGTCTCTAAAAAATTATATTATTTAAAGATGAATATTTTGATACCCTTAAATTAAATTTATACTAATATATTCATCCAACGAAACAATAACATTCAATATCACTAAAAAAAAAAAAGTCCTAGATTTGAATTCAGGTCTCATATATCTGATGAACATTCAATATCACCGAAAAAGTGAAATGTCGAAAAAGTAAAATGTCGGAGATTTAAACTCACATCCCAAGCATATGATGTTCTTGTCCAACTATCCATTGAAGTGCCTTAACAACATATAATTCACCTTAATTAAATTAAGTCCTTTTAGTATTTTGGTCATAGATTTGTACTACAATTCATTCATACCATTAAAACACCAATCCTTTATTACCTTCTTCTAGCGATTTAAATTCTAATTAAATCATTGGTTCTATCACAAACAAATGAGTGCGAGAAGGAGAGTTGTTCTTTTCCTTCTTTCTTTTTCATTTTATGTTCTCACCCACTGACACTGTTGTGCATGAGTAACAAAATGTATTAAAACAGACCTAATTCTTTAAGTAGACAATAACTTAAAAACTGGAATAAGAATAATTCAGTACATGACGTTCATAATTGAGGGTTCATAATCAATAAATAGCAAATTCGTATGGCATCACAGTATTGCATAATCACAATATATAAATAAAATTGGAACAATCAACACACAGATATCTCGATATACTCGACCACGACAAACAATATAACTTGTGCAAATACTTTACAAAGAAACAGTTTGGAACAACAATTTATATTATGTTGTAATGTTGGGACTTCAAATCTTCAAACATTGTTCTTCCATCCAAGATGCAAAACATCTAGCATAGTTTAGTAAATGTTACTTAATTGTCTTACTTAGGCCTAACTTCTATTCCTTCAACAAAGAGACCTCTCTTCCAATGACCACCCGTCTCCAAAACCTTCATCTGAACTTCTTCATTCTCTATGCCTGAATTGAAGAACTCCCCCATCTCAATCTCCAACCACCCATCACTTCTCACATTAGGACACTGCAATCCTTCTACTCTTTTGCGAGACCTACCTTCCACATCAGGATCCAAACAGACATTTTTAGTACTACTATGCCCACCTTCGACAAAAACTGATAACACCACGGGACGGTTCTGAAATCCATGGGGATCAACCATCTTGAACACAAGATAAGCTGCATACTCAGTATTTGGGGACAATGCAATGGTGTTTATCGTACCCTGAATATCAAACCAACATACACGAAGAAGCTCAGCAACTTCAGAGAACCTGTCCAAAAGTAGTACAAAGTTGCAAATGTTAAAATATCGGAACTGAGAAAAGTCGAAAGTGATTCATTACATGACCGATGGAGTATCTATTTAGGCGAAGATAAGCAATATAACCAACTGCGATGTTAATCCCAGATAACGTCACGTAGCACCGATCCCTAAAATGCTAAAGTGGTTTAACGGATAGCGGATTAGACACTATTGCAAAGACTAAAAATCAGTGTATTACATGATGAAAATAATACTGTTTAGTTTATTACTAAACAGTTAGTTTTAGTTTGTTATAGTTTGTTACAATTCTGTTTAGTTTGTTACTAAACAGTTTGTTACTTTAACAGTATATATAATGCTGTTTTGTACATTCCAAATCATAATGAAAACTATGAGTTTATTCCAAAATTAACATGGTATTAGTTTGAATTCTCTTTTCCGCGCCTTACTTCTTCGCGCCTTCTTCTTCTTCGCGCCTTCGCGCCCCCTTCTTCCCTTGCTGTTTCAGCGTTTGTTATGGCGCTTCCTTACTCTGATTTTGCTACCAATCCTTCCAATCCTTACTACATGCACCCTAATGAAAATCCCTCTCTTGTTCTTGTTCAACCTGTTCTTGATACCAAGAACTACCAGATCTGGTCTCGATCAATGAAAGTAGCTCTTATCTTCAAGAACAAGATCAAATTCGTTGATGGCACTCTTTCTCCTCCCCCTACCTCCGACTCTCTATACGAACCTTGGCTGCGATGCAACAATCTCGTCCTCTCATGGCTTCAACGCTCGATTTCTGAGAAAATTGTCAAATCTCTTCTCTGGTATGATCGTGCTTCTCTTGTATGGAAAAGTTTGGAAAATCGTTTTTCTCAGGGAGATATTTTTCGCATTGCTGACATTCAAGAAAGTGTTGCTCGTCTTCAACAAGGAACTCTTGATGTCTCTTCGTTCTTCACAGAATTGATGACGCTTTGGGAAGAAATTGAGAACTTCCGGCCAATTCGTGATTGTACTTGCGCTATACCGTGCTCCTGTGGTGCTGCTTCAGACTTACGCAAATTCAAAGAACAAGATAAAGTTATTAAGTTCTTGAAGGGCCTTGGTGACCAATACGCTAATGTTCGATCCCAGATTATGCTGATGAAACCACTACCAACTCTTGATAATGTGTTTAATCTGGTTCTTCAACAAGAACGTCAATTCGACCTTCTTTCACCTTCTGCTTCTTCGATTGAGTCTCAATCATCTGTGAATCACCTTTCTCAAACACCTTCTCGTTCTTCTCACAACACTGGTCGTGGTCGTGGCCGTGGTGGCCGTGGAAACAGACTCTGTACCCATTGCAACCGCATCAATCACACCATTGAGACTTGCTTCTTGAAACATGGCTATCCCCCTGGATTTCAACAACGCAAGCCTACTACATCTGTGGGGAATTCTGCTGATTCTACAGTGAATTCGATTCAAGATGCTGCATCCACATCAAACACCAGTCCAAGTGCTTTGTCTACGATTCAAGAACAATACACTCAGATTTTGCAGCTCCTCCAACAATCTAATTTGCAATCTCCTTCACTTCCCTCGATTAATTCAGTTTATACTGCTAATTCTGTGTCCAATACCTCTCCTCATACTTCCTCTGGTAAGAATTCCTCAAATCTTCCTTGTCATAACTGGTGGATCATTGACACAGGTGCCACTGATCACATCACCCATACCTTTGCCAATTTCGTTTCCACATACCACATTGCACCTAAATCTATGACAATGCCTAATGGTGACTCTGTCACTACAACTATTGCTGGTTCAGTTTTACTATGTGGTTCACTTGTCCTTCACAATGTTTATTACTTTCCTTCATTTCATGTCAATATTATTTCTGTCACCACTCTTTTTGACTCCACTTTATATGATGTGAAATTTTCTCCTAATTGCTGTCAAATTATGCAGTTGCCCCAATCCAAGATGACTGGATTTACAGCTAGGAGGATTGGCAAATTCTATGTTCTTGATGCCACCCCACCTACGACCATCTCTCCCACATCTGGATCTGTCAACACCTCCTCTTCTCCCCAATTCGATCCTGCTACTATTTGGCATCTTAGGCTTGGACACTTAAGTCCCTACATACACAAATGTATTTCCTCTCAATTTCCTTTTGTCACCTACAATGACAATCATAAGCCCTGTAACACTTGCCATTTGGCTAAGCAAAAACATTTGCCCTTTACTCACAGTAATACTAAGCCTGTTGCCATCTTCGATTTACTTCATGTTGATATTTGGGGCCCTCTTTCCACACCTTCGATATGTGGCCACAAGTATTTTTTAACCCTCGTAGACGATTACAGCAGGTTTACTTGGACAATTTTTATGGCCAACAAAAGTGAAACCAGAAACCATTTAATTCACTTCATATCCTTTATCGAAACCCAATTTAACAAGAAACTCAAGTGCATTCGAAGTGATAATGGTCCTGAGTTTCTCATGACCACTTTCTACCTTTCTAAAGGAATCATTCATCAAAGGTCTTGTGTGGAAACGCCTCAACAGAATGGTATCGTGGAAAGAAAACATCAACACATTTTGAATGTTACCCGTGCCCTCTCTTTCCACTCTCACCTCCCTCACAACCTTTGACACCTTTCCATACAACATGCCATTCATATTATAAACCGTCTTCCCACTCCTCTTTTAAACAACCACTCTCCATACCAAAAACTCCATTCTATTCCTCCCAGCCTTAGCCATATGAGAGTCTTTGGTTGTCTTGCCTATTCTTCGACCTTGCTTAACCATCGCACTAAATTCGAACCAAGAGCAAGGAAATCTATTTTTCTTGGCTACAGGGAAGGCACAAAAGGCTACCTTCTCTATGATCCTATCACACATGAATTTTACATTTCAAGGAATGTATTCTTTTATGAAACTGTGTTCCCTTTTGTATCCATCCCACCTGAACCTAATCCTATAATTCCTACTCCTGACCCTCCTTCGATTGATTCACCTGATATTTTCACCAACATTCCACCAAACTTACCTCCACCATCAAATGAACCTTCCTCTCCTACCTCTCTCCCCCAGCCAGAATCTCCCACTAACCTCTCTTCTTCCTCGAATGACACTAACAACTCCCCTTGCCCCTCCCCTCCTGTGCCAACCAGAAAATCCAATCGAAATAGTAAACCTCCAGCTTATCTATCCGATTATCACTGCAATTTGCTATCCCCCATGCTGCCAGCATCTGACTCAGGTTCCTCTAACTACCCTCTCTCTTCTGTATTATCTTATAGCCAAAGTAGTCCTGATCACAAATTATTTTGTCTATCCATAAGTTCTTTCACAGAACCAAAAACCTATAAACAAGCCTGCAAATTTGATTGTTGGAACAATGCTATGAAATCTGAGTTAGATGCTCTTGAATCTACAAATATTTGGTCTGTTGTTGATTTGCCTGCAGGCAAACAATCGATTGGTTGCAAATGGGTCTACAAAATCAAGCATCATGCTGATGGATCCATCGAACGATACAAGGCACGTTTAGTAGCGAAAAGATATACTCAGCTGGAGGGGGTGGATTATTTCGACACTTTCTCACCTATTGCGAAGCTTACTTCTATTCGAACCCTTCTCTCAGTGGCTGCCATTAAGAATTGGCACTTGGAACAACTTGACGTCAACAATGCCTTCCTTCATGGTGATCTACATGAGGAAGTGTATATAGATCTGCCTCCTGGATTCATGCTTCCTGCTTCTTCGACCAACGAAGTCTGCAATTCTTCGACCAACAAAGTTTACACTTCGAGCAACGAAGTCTGCACTTCTTCAACCAACAAAGTTTGCATTCCTTCGACCAACAAAGTTTGCACTCCTTCGACCAACAAAGCTTGCACTCCTTCGACCAACGAAGTTTGCACCTCTTCGACCAACGAAGTTAGCACTTCTTCGACCAACGAAGTTGGCACTTCTTCGATCAACAAAGTTTGCAAATTGCATAAGTCACTATATGGCCTGAAGCAGGCTAGCAGACAGTGGTTTTCGAAATTGTCCACTGCCCTTATCTCTCTTGGCTACTCATATTCTTCTGCTGATCATTCTTTTTTCACAAAATCACATGACTCTTCTTTTACTGTTTTATTAGTCTATGTTGATGATATTGTCTTAGCCGGTAATGATTTGCAGGAAATCAAATATGTCAAATGCTTCCTTGATTCCACTTTCAAAATCAAGGACCTTGGTAGGCTAAAATATTTTCTTGGTCTAGAAGTTGCTAGATCCACTCACGGCATTTTTCTCAATCAGAGAAAGTACGCTTTGGAATTGCTCGAAGACAGTGGCTTATTGGCTACTAAACCTTGCTCTACTCCCTTCGATTCCTCCTTGAAGCTTCATGATGATAACTCACCACCTTTCGAAGACGTCACAGCTTATCGAAGGCTTGTTGGAAAACTTCTATATCTGACTACCACCAGACCTGACCTTGCATTCATCGTTCAACAGCTCAGCCAATTCATCTCACATCCTATGCAAGTTCATCATTCTGCAGCAATTCGAGTACTCAAGTATCTCAAAGGTGCTCCTGCCAAGGGTTTGTTCTATTCATCTTCCTCTCCACTCAAACTCTCTGGCTTCGCAGACTCAGATTGGGCAAGTTGCCCTGCTACCCGCAGATCCGTAACTGGATATTGTGTGTTCCTTGACAATTCCCTCATATCCTGGAAATCCAAAAAGCAATCTACAGTATCCAAATCCAGTTCAGAAACAGAATACAGGGCCTTGGCAAGCTTGACTTGTGAATTGCAATGGCTGCAGTATTTGTTCAAGGATCTCCACATCTCCTTCGATCAACCTAGCTCAGTCTATTGTGACAACAAAAGTGCTATCTACCTTGCTCACAACCCCACCTTTCATGAACGGACAAAACATATCGAAATTGACTGCCACGTCATTCGTGAGAAAATCCAAACTGGTCTCATCCATCTTTTACCAGTTTCTTCCGCCGCTCAACTGGCAGATGTTCTCACCAAGCCTTTGGCAGCTCTCTCTTTCGATTCTCTTGTTTCCAAGCTTGGTCTATTAGACATCCATAGTCCAGCTTGTGGGGCTATTTACATTCCAAATCATAATGAAAACTATGAGTTTATTTCAAAATTAACACAATGTGCAAAGTAAATATATATACTGAAATAAAGTACTAGTTAACCTGGAATTCGGGCAAATGAATCCAGTCCCAATATTGGTCATGATCACTCCAAATAATAGTGAGAGATCTAGCAGCAAGCATGTAGCGAAATTTCCCAGTTTTCTTATCCAATTGAACGCTCTGCATTTCAACGTGCCCAATTGCTATTAGCTTTTTCCACGACAAATCAATACAGTTATAAGCATTCAATGATAATAAACCTTTTGACCATCATCGGTGATGATAGGGTGATCGGAGAGAGCGAGATAGAAAGCCTTCTTGGTAGGAGCGTTGGCAAGTGAGGGAAACTGTGAAACAACAGAGGCTACGAAATTGGATTCGGATGGGAGGAATTGATTCCAGACGGCATCAGAGTCCGCCGCAGAACGGAATGTCTTCGAAAGGACGGAGAATCTTCCGGCGTCAACGGGACTAGTACGACACAGTATGGCGGCGATGCATCCTTCCGCCAACTCCTGAATTTCTGTCATTTGATTTATGATTTTATGCGAAGGAGCAGTAATTGTAAACGTGTTTTGAAGTCAGAGAGGGAAGAGACTTGTCTATGGCAGCAATTGCTAAATCCCGCATTCAACGGAAACGAAGGTTCAATTTAATTTGTAAATATATTTCTTATTTCCATTTTCTATAACATAAAAAAAATTATTCCAGCTTAAGATATAAATAAGTCAAATGGTACATAAAAATAAACGTATACATAAGATATAATAAGGTTGCCAAGTTGCCAACCAAAGAGAGGTTCTAGTATGCTCACCTCAACATTCAAACAAGAGTTTTTTAATTGATTTAATTCACAACTAAATAAAAAATTTACATTGAAATGTTACAATAATGCCCTTACATCATACTCAAAACATAGATAAAATATTTATTCTCAAAAATATTAAGACAAAAGTAAATAAATAAAAAAGAGGGGAGAGTGAGACAAAGATATTTAGATTATAATGTCATCTGATATGACATAATTTGTATTATATGATAATAGTCACGTGTAATTGCTTTATACCTATAGTGAATATAAATCATGTTTGTGTTTTCATCCTTGTATAGTTCAAAGTTATATTATTTGATATGAGATGATACGAAGTATTGATAAATAAGTTCAACATTTTATCATGGTAATTTGTTTTATATAAATACTCGATCAATAGTTAGTAGATATTGTTGAAACAATTTGAGTTTTCAAGAAAGATAAGGAAGAAGAATAGAGAAAAACTATATTTTGACTAGGTCGAACATTTTTATGTCGAGCTTGCATATAAAATATTTTGAACTAGTCCGACAACTAGAGTGGGTACAGCCTAACCTCCTCCTTCGGCACGGCCCGTACGACCATGGCTTGGGTTTCCATGTCCTCCGTCGGGCATCATCATTCATTTGTCCTCAAAGACCAGCACTGACCTACAACAATCGACAAATGCCTCTCAGTCTGCCCGACCTCAAGTCGACCAGACAACCAGAAATCGACCAGACCACTGCCTGTAACCTACTTCCTCCTTGGAACTAACGGCTAGTTGCGGACACATCTGCCCAGTTTGACCAATTCCCGACAGTTACCTATTTTTACGGACCCACATATCTAGGCCCAAAAATAGGAACCAATGACCAAGCGTCAGGGGCACTATATAAACTCTCACACATGTGAGGGCCAGATATCGAATATCTACTATTCATCACAAAAACCCTAATATTTTGCTTGTATCTCTTTGCTTCCACACTTACTTGATCTTCAGAGTGCCTTACAAGTACAACCTCCCTTTTTCCTCCTCGACGCTGCAGTCCGACAAAAGATCATCATCTGCCTACCTTGTATGTTCTGGTCAACCGGTAAGATCAGTGGCATCGTCTGTCAGAAACTATCTTCCCCGTTTTCTGTTTCCCAGAATCTGAAGACCAAAGATCCTCCTCATTCAACAATCATGGATGATTGTGATGATCAACACCTACCTGAAAAGACTGCACTTTCCTCAGCGCATAAGACCGATGGAAGTCAAGAACATCCTCACCTCGAGGATAACATCAACTTCTGTGACGGCCAAACTGTGTCCCCAGATTCAGTCGATGCCCAGCGCGACAACCATTAGTTCTTAGACGAGCAGCATCCCAAGAACCCCACCAAGGAACTGTCGAAAACTCTGCAACCAATTCCTATTCCTTATAACACCGACCCGGCCGTTGCAGCACTGCTCACTGCCATTAACCAGACTAACGCCCTTATCCTGCGGCAAAACAAGAAGATATGGGCCTGGGAGAAGAAGCAGTCAAAGTCTCCTCCTCAGAGATACCGACAACATGATTCCACCAGCATATCCCCACCTAGACGTGGCCATCCACCAAGAAGGGATAAGCGCGATGTTTCTTTCTTCAAGAAACGTAACCGCACGCCTCCCAAGAAGGACCAAAGCTCTCCATCCTCCAAGAAGAGGAAGAGCGTCCTCCACGTTGACCGCATCCGATCACCGTCGCCCAAACCACGACAGCACCGATGGAGCCCTTCCCCCCGATGAGACAATGATGCCCGACAGGGAAGGATCTATCACTCCCCGCCTTTATCCTCCGAGGAAAGCGATAACGAAGAGTCATGCGGCCCGTTATCAAGAGAGATTACAGATACCCAGCTCCCAGTGGGCCTGGAAAAACCACCCCTGTTGGGAACGTACGGTACGAATGATCCTGATGAACACATAGAGAATATCGACGTCCTCCTCGACTACCAAAGGGGAAGAGGCGCCATCAAGTGCAGACTGTTCCCGACTACCCTGAGGAAAGGAGCCATGTCTTGGTACAAAAGCCTCTCAGACGAGTCTATTACCTCCTAGAAATAGTTGGGGAGGATGTTCTCGAGGCACTTCACCACCTCCCGTCGACATCCAAAATTATAAGCTTCACTTGAAGCGATTATATAGGGAAGAGATGAATCTCTGCAAGCATATGTAGAGTGCTTCAATAAAGAGGCAGTACAGGTCTCCACGACCGACACCATAAAGAAATACCTTCTTGAACACGGGCTTCGTCCCCGTAGCGACTTTGCAAAGGCAGTAGTCATCGAATCACCAACCGTGCTCGACTTCCTCCTCCTTAAGGCTCAAGCATAAATTCAATACGAGGAGAAAGAAGCTGCTAACAATGACAGGGAGTCAAGGCACCGAGAAAGTGCCAAATCCTCAAGAAGTGACGAACCCTCGACATCCCGTCGAGGGGGAGGGGGGAAGAAAGTAAGCGGGAAGACATATCCCGAGGCTCCAAAGATTACAAGGGGCTTGCTGGTCGATTTCACGACTAAACCCCTCTGACTACTTCAAGGGAACATATTTTGTCTGAATCTGCCAATTTCAAATTCAAACAGACTGGGGTACGCTTTCCCTGACAAACACCCTCCGAGCCCGAAACTGACAAGAGCAAATACTGCAGGTTCCATAAAACCCATGGTTACAACATTGACGATTGCATCCATCTCAAAGATGCGATCAAGATACTAATCCAAGACAGTCACCTCAAGCAGTACAAGAAGAAAGAGAGTTCCCGTGAAGAGGCTCCAGAAACCAAGAGAGTCAAAGAGGGGAAGGAGTCCCCCCGACATCAGCATTATACCGTTCTACATGAGTATCTCGCGACCAGAAGATTTCTACTTCCCAGACATGGAGAATGTCCCATTGTACTTCTCCTCTCACAGTCGTCTCTAGAGGATGTACGCAATATGTCATCTCTTTAGGCATGGAGTACTGCATAAAGTTATATCCAATGATATTTTAGAGTGTCACATCCTTACATGACATCAGATGTATAGGGAGATCCCCCTGGGTCAGCTCATCAAGAGATATTATAAAAAGTGATGACTAGGGCAGACCATGTTATTGACGTGTTGTCGACCTGTCAGTGTTTTATGGCTATTAGGAGAGCGGGTATAAAGAGAGTAGAGATTCACGAAGGCACTCCTGAGAGGGCTATTATAGATAAAAATATAGCTTAGACACAACATGTTTTGCAGTACAAGAGGCAGGATAGGAGCTAGGGACCAGATATACCACGTAGTTTATTTTTTCTTTGTATTTTAATAATTTGTATTTGTTGGAAATCCACCAAAACTTATAATGAATTTACATCAATCTTGATGAACACTATTGTTATCACCATACAATGACAATGAAAAATATGAAAGAAAGAAAAAAGAAAGAGAAGACAATGATTTTCTGCAGAGTTTCTCTCTATCCACAAACTGTGGAAAACTTATTATTCACTTGTAAATGTAAATTCTATGAATACAACTTGATTACAAAAATAAGGGCTACTCCCTTTATTTATAGATTTAGGTTATCTTGATCTCTAAGCCAAAGACCAAAACTATATGTTGTACTAAAAAGGAGAAAGTAATCTTTGTTGCTCAGATGATGAAGGGACCGACTAGTAGATGGTGGGATACTACATCCACTTATTTCACCTCTTAGATAATCCCGAGGGATTAGAAACACTTCAATAAATGTTTCTTGGAGAAGTAATACCCCAACATCTTGTGTGCTAAAAAATAATGCGAGTTTCAGTTGTTTAAGCAAGGCAACATGTCAGTGTCAGAGTATGCTGAGAAGTTTGAAGACATGGATGCCTATTCCAGACAAGTTGTTTATGCACCATATGAGCTTTGGAAGATTGATCCGTCTATGTTTGGTATGAATATGGATATTTCTCATAGTGTGTCTCTGAGGGAGTTCACTACTTATGCTGAGTGTTTGAGGAAATTCTATGTTGTTGAGAAATGTTTGAAGAGGATTCAGGACGAGAAAGAGCAGAACAGGACCATGCACAAGGAGAAAGGGAAATCAGGTCAATATATGAAGCCCTAAAATCCTTCATCCACTAAGAAGCAAGTTTATGGTGATCGACCATCTCAACCTCCTCAGTGTGGCAAGTGCAACAGAAGACATCATAGGGAGTGTGCAATGGGTCAAAGAAAGTGTTACAATTGTGGTGCTCCAGGTCACTTTGCACGGGATTATTCTGTCCAAGACACTCCTGATAAGACTATGGGTCGCATTTATACCTTGGATGCTAGGAAGGCTCAGGGGAACACCAACCTTGTTGCTAGTATGTTATGTTAATAATCAACCTTTATTTGTATTAGTTAATTATGGAGCGGCGCATTCCTTCATTTCTAATCAGTGTGTACAACAACTTGGATTTGAAGCAAATTTTCTTCCTAATCTTATGACTATTTCATCGTCTACTAATAATGTATTCGAAACTCAAAAAATCTACAAGGATTGTTCTGTCACTTTTAATGGCCATAATTTCTTGATTTATCTTATTTGCCTACCGCTCAAGAAGATCGATGTGATATTGGGTATGGACTGGTTGTCAGCTAACTCGGTATACATTGGGTGTAAAGAGAAGGCTATATTCATTCCTGCTGAGGAGACTACTCTCGTTGATGTTATTGGTAATGTAATCGAAGGTATGGTTAACATGTTCAATTATC